GCACACAAATCCTCCTTTTTTGGCAGTGTGGGTGTGCGTGTGTGTGTGTTTGTGGGGGGGGGGGGGGGTGTGTTTTGACTCTTTCACATGTGAGAACTCAGAGCATGTATTTTACAAAATGTATTTTACTGCTTCTGAGCTCAAGATCTGCAGCATACACGAACTGTATATATAACTTGCATACCGCTCCAGTTAATGTAATTTTTTTGTGTGTGTGTGGGTGTAAATTGACTGAGAGGAATGAGATAAGGAGAGGAAAGTTTCACTTTCGTACTTTGTTCATTTCCGTGAAAAATATTCCTCAATTCTTTACGATAGTCTTTGTTTTGATAAACCTAGATTGCTTTTAACAATACTGAACTAGTTAATTTAATTTCACTTCCTTTAGAAAGTAAGCTAAATTTAATTAATTTTCACAAGTAAAATGTATTGTAATTAAATCTATTTAGCTGTAAGTGAGCAGCATAATCTGCTATCAATCACTCTTCTTTGACGGCATCTTAAGAATAGTCACTGACTTTACCTAGAGTAAATGTGGAAAATATGAAATAATACTGGAACTACACCATCCAATCTTTGTACAGTGACGCTAAAGGCAAGCCTGTGCCACTGCTTTTAACACAAAGATCATCCTCCTTTTGAATGAATCCTAAACCTTGGCTTTGGGTCAGAGTACAAAATGTACACCTTGGGAACCTTTCGTAAATGAGGTCCCTGTTTCCCATCTGTCATTTTAATAGCATCTGCTGTTTCTCTGCCAACTTCATTAGTGTTTGAAATTAACAGGAGTTATGAGTAAAATTGAGATTGAGAGTTTATTCAATTTCGTGAAAATCGCACAAAACCTCCATTTTATGCACTCTCATCAGGCGGCAGCCTCTGGTTCTGAATAATGAAGCTAATACGTAAGTGCCTTAAGCCTCGAACATCCCTTCCCCATCAGTGGATAGCTGCAGACTTGTAACCATTGGGAAGACTTGTACATGTTTCCATTCATATTACTATTGAGGATCCGGGCCGGTCTGGTCCACACATGCGCATCTCCCAATCCAGACTCCATTCCAGTTGGTAGCAATAATACTCCATAACGCTGTTTGCCAATTCCAATTGTTTACCTGAGCCTACATCACTGCCAACTGCCTTGCTATTCTCCCAAAGCCTGACAATATTCCTACTTTACAGGAAGTCACCAGCGTGGTGTCCTGAAACAAAGATTCACAGGAAGGTTGTAATGCACCCAGAGGTTTAATACTCCCTCACCCAGATTTTGGGGCCATGTCCTCGCTAATGCTGATAATATCTCGTAAAGTTTGTTTGCAAGCTTGTCAGAAAATGTATGTTTTGTTAAGGTGTTACCAAATATATACTGTATATTTCTCCCCTCGGGCAGATAAACAACTAAGATTTAGCTATCCATCGCAACAGCATTTGACTGATGAACCGAGCCACATAAGTGCTGTTGTTGTTCAAAATTCTATGAAAGGGTTTGTAGAGAGACAAACTCAAAATCCTGTCCAAAGCTTCCTAACACCACAGATTCACACTGACACAGTTTTTGGCCAAAGTGGACTACATTTTCCCTCAATACTTCATATTTTCAGACAGGCATTGGTAACAGTATTATTACTGCAATGAACCGTAAGCCCCGTCTCATCAATCGAACAGAAATATTAGCTAAGTGTAACGCTAGCACCCTGCTGACAATTATGTATCTATTTTCTAGACTTCGTTTTCATGTCAGCACTGCAAGAGACCGCTGTTTTCAAATGTTCAAACTTGTGAGAGTTTTTGAAAAGCACTTTTTTTTTTGGTGATGGAAAACACATGCTTAGTGCTGGTGAAAAGCCAACATGGGGAGAAATTTTAATTTCTCGTGTTGGCATGGTCTTACTCCTTTCCCTTACTCTCACTTCTCTCTTGCTATGTCTGAGTTTCTGTTTGCTGTCCCTCCATACCTCCTCTCCTTTTCAACCCAGGTCTATGATAGTGATTTCCTTAATTGCCAGCCAGTGTTCGTTAGCACCCTGTCGTTATCTCGTCTGTGCCATGACAGAGACTGTTGACTTTAGTGGATTGTGCAGTGGCTGTCTGCAGTAAGGCTAAGAATGGGGTGTGGATTTAGACTGGGCAGCTCATGTGCCCATTGGCTGATGCTAATGATTGGGAGAATACTACAGATGGTACAAGCTGTTCTTTTGATCTTTCTTTCCCTCCTTAGGAAACCTTGAGCCCAGCCTGCTCATTCCTCATGGCGAGCGCTGCTAGTCTTCTCTTTGCTTTGCCCCATGTTTTACTTGATGCTTAAGAAAATGTACACATGCATGTGCTCTGTGTGAAAATTGGTGTCATCAGTATTTCAGCCAAATTGAATCCATGCAGAAAGTACCATTGGTCTTGGTGATATTTTGATTTTCAGCTCCCCTCTGCATTCACAGGACAGTTGTTGATGTGTGTAGAGAGGAAGCAGCCTGTTGCCTTATTGATTTGGTTTGTTGCTTCCATTGTTAGCGCCCTGACGACCACAGAAAAATCTTCATATTGCTAACATTTCCCATCACTGGTGCTCCTCCAGCCCTAATCCATTTTCTCTTTCCTTTTTGTTACAGCTCCAGGAGACTGTAAAGAGGAAATTGGACAGTGCACGATCGCCCCTCAATGGAGAGCAGAACGGCATCTGTGATGGAGGCAGCTACTCACCGACTACCAAACGGGTACGGAAGGAGGGCTCTGGTGGTTTGGACTCACTAACAGGTCTCCCTAACAACAACAATAACAGCAATGTTCCACCCATCTCTCCACTGCATCACCAAATGGACATTAAGCCCTTACTTGGCGGGCCCAACACTTCCACCGGAAACAACACTACAAACAGCAATGGCAACCACGTAGGTCAGGCATCCGATGAGCTGGGAAAGAACGGTGGCAGCCATCTCGCGGACATGAAGCTGAACGGCTCGCTAGACTTGGAGGACAGCTTCGGCCTCCTCAAAGACCTGAAACAGGAGCCACTGGACGACGGAGGTGGGATGGAGTCCTCTGATCCCCAGTCTCTGTCCAATCAGAACAAACTTTTCTCTGACATCAACCTCAATGACCAAGAGTGGCAGGAGCTGATCGATGAGCTGGCCAATACCGTGCCAGAGGACGATATGCACGACCTCTTCAATGAGGACTTTGAGGACAAGAAAGAGGCAGAGTTTGGCAGGCCGGGAAACAATCAGACACCAGGCCCCCAAGATGCAGCTGGGAACACAACGGCACCACCAGCAGCAGCCCTGCCTCCTCCTCCTCAGCCTCCACAGGGAGGGCCACAGGTTCCTATGGGCTCTCCACAGGTCAGTACTAAGAGGGTCAACAAGATGTCCAATGGCAGGAGCACTCTGCCCCAAGTTGTGGCCAGTTTGGGTGATTTAGTCACATAGCGATTTTTGTATGATGTTTTCTCTAAAGAGAGAATTAAAGTACATTTGTTAGCAACAATTCATAAACCATGTGTAATCTATATGCACACTACAAATTACCGTTTATGATCCATTCCTGATGCAAGGATTGCAGGTGATGAGTAAATTGCCAATTTAAAGGTTTCAACTGCTTTTGAAACAATTTCTTCAGGAATCAGGTAATTTGAACTGCTTTTAGAAAGGAAATGGTTCTTGGTTCCAATTCATAGTAATATGTTCACACAGGTGTGTCCTTCTGTTTACTCTTTCTAAATTGCTTATACATGATTAAAACAGTGAAATGTGCAGAACAAGAAACAAACATGATTACGTGAGTAGAAATTGCCAATGCTTACACTGTGTTTTGGGGTTAAAATATAATAATGTACCTAACTGTGAGGTATTGTGGTTTGAAACAGATTTAAAACACATTTTTGTAGACATTTCAAGGGGTTAGCTATATTATATACAATTCCTAAATATTCCAACCAGGTCACAGGTGAGCATGAGTTTTAGTATATGTGCACCACCAAGATGATACCAAGCCTTCTGGCAGTAAGACTGAGAAATAACTCCAACCACAATTAATATTTTACTTCGCTGTTTATCTACAGATTTAACAAACAAAAGACAATGCGTTAATTAGAAAGCTTCAGCGGTGTTGATGGGCATATTTTTTTACTTTGGAGAGAGCCAGGCAAGCTGTCTGCAGTCTTTATTCTAAACTAAGGTCAAAGCCACCAGGTGTTGCGTTGAACTCATTTGAGAGTTCACAGTACCGGCGTCTCACGGGATTATTTTGTGTTTGGACTCCTCAGGTTCGACCATCTTCGTCAGGCCCTCAGTTTGCCACCACTGCCAATGGAACACCTCCTCAGCAACCCTTGCAGCAGTCTCCAGCAGTTGCTATGGCATCAGGTTCCCCATTGCACAACTGCGTGGCTCGCTCCCCTCAGACCCCAACCCAGGCTCAGACACAAGCAGTCTCTAGGCCTGGGAATGGATACATGATGAACCCAGGCCCAGGGGTCAGTCAGGCGGGCACAGGACCCGGAGCAGCTGGAGTTGCCCCTGGAGGTCAACCTGTTGGACCAGTGACGCCTGAACTTTCTCCAGCAGAGCAGCTAAAGGCAATGGCTCAGCAACGGGCTAAACTGCTGCAGCAGAAGCAGCAGCAGCAGCAAGCAGCTAACTGGTCCCCTGCAGGTGCTCCAACCAGTCCATATAACTCTGGTCCCTTTAACCAAGACAAACCCAACAGCCCCATGATGTACCCACCGCAAGCCTTTAACACACAACAGGGCCCTCTAGTGGCTGGGATGACCCCCAACAATGGGCCCAAGGCCCCCATGAACAACTACCTCCCTCACAACCACATGGGCATGATGGGCCAGCAACAGCCAAACAGCATCAACCAGAACACCCTGTCCAAGCAACAGCAGCAACAAACAGCAGCCATGTTGTCCTATAACAACACCAAACCGCTGAGTCACTTCAGCGGCAGCGGGGTTGATCACTTAGGCCAGAGGATGACTCCTCCCATGGGAGGGAACAATCAGGTCAAGAACCCCATGATGCCTCCCTACATGGGTGGCGGGGGAGGCGGTGGCCAGGGCGCGGGGCCCGGGCAGACCCAGGGGCCAATCCCGGGGCAGACAGCCCACCTGAGTGAGGAGCAGAAGAGGATGTTGCTGATGAAGCAGAAAGTGTTAAACCAGAACATGCCCTACAGCGCCATGCAGGCTCATGGACAGGTAAGGGAACTTTACATGTAATCAATATGGCTAGGCAAAGTTGTTTACATTGTATTTGTGCAGATAAAGTTCTTCTAGGAGGAAGGTGTCTTTCAACTGTCTGTAGATTTAGCTCCGATTCCAGAGTCATTCAACAGAAAGCATTTACTCTGGAGATGAGTTTCATGTCAGAGCGTGGTGGTGTTATCGAGCACTCAACCCATGACCTTGTGAAGAGAACAATACACCCAACAGTTTTTACTTGTCAATCCTTGGGGCGCAATATGAAATGCTGGCAGTCCGCTGGAGGTTTTCTATGAAATATACAGATAATTTGAACTCCATTTTTACGGGTAAACGGCGGAATGGCAAAGAAAATTAAAAAATACAAGATATTACAAGCTTAATAAACAGTTGACCGGGACAGATTACGGACAATGGCTCGCTGTTTTTCAAAACCTTCCAGAGGTGCAGCCAGAGAAGGTAAAATGGCGGTAGTTTCCCCAGCAACAAGCCAGGGCTGGGAATAGGCATAGGAAAATGGCCCGTCGACAGTGTATTGATGCCTCTGCAACACTAGCAGCACTGATAGCCGCCCCCCACTCCTCCTCATGCACTCACACACCACACCAAACACCAAAGCTAAACGGCTCCTTAGCTCATATCCCCAATCTGTCACAGCTGACTGATGGCTGAGATTGGACCACTAAGCCAAGCTAGCTGCTGTCATTACCGAAAGCCTACCTCGGGCAGTTTGTTTCCAGAGCCCGGCGACAGCTACAGCCAACTGTGAACGCTCCGGTGGTTCAGCCAGGTGTCAGGTGTCCTTAATAATCCACGGCACGGAGGACGTTAAGGAAGTGTGGGTGGACTATACCTTAAGAAGTATACACCTACACAAGTTAAACATCATGCTGGTGTGGTTAGTCTCATTATCTCAGGGCCATTGTTTTATTGTCAATAGAAAGTGTGTGTGCCGGTGTGTGCGTGCTTGTTGATGATTCACTTGTCAATGTTGTCCCCCTCTCCCTTTATCTCTCTGTCTCTCTCTGCCTCCCTTGTGTTCATGATATGGCTACAGTCAGTCAGTCACCTCTCCTCTTCCTCCTCCCTTCTGTTGATCGCTGCGTCTCCTGTCCTGCTCCTCCTTCTTCCTCCCCCTCTCCTCCCTCTCTTTCTCCCCCTGCCAGAGACACTCAGCACCAATAAAGGAGCAGATTTATTAATATGGGGCCTTTGTGACTGCTGCCTGAAGGGTTGTGTGTTTGTGTGCATAAGTGAGTAAGTGCGTGTCTGTGCACATGTATGTTTGTGTGTGTTTCATAGATTTAGGGAGGGGGTGGGTAGAAGGGGGAGGTGGAGAGATTTATTTGAGTGAGCAGAGGAGAATTGGAGACCGGGAAGAGACAGGAGAGAGATGTGCAGAAAAGACAAAAATGACTTAAAGGAAAAAGGCAAATGCAGAAAGAGAGATTTATTGTGGAGTGAGGATCGAGCATATTAAAAAGAAAGTCAAGGGGCTGGTAAGAGAAAATAAGTGAGCGATGCAGAATTGAGTGTCTGAAATGCAAAATATTCACAGTTCTACATGCGTTTAGCTCCATTGTAATGACATTTATTAGGGTGGAATATTTACAGTATGTGGACAACAGGTGGTACCAGTTAAAGGGCAAATCCACCGATTTTACACATCAATGTCAGTCCACCAGGGGAGCACGACACAGCCCGTGAAAACAATTGTATAATGTCTTCTGTGGCTCTGGAAGGGCTTTGTCAAGTCTGGGAAAATAACCCTGATGATGTCGTCGGGGTTATCTTGGCTTGGAGACTACAAACCTTTTCAACTAAAGTCTGCGTTACAAGCTGGAAGTATAATGTTTGACAGACAACCAGGCAGGGTCTAATACGAACACATTATGAAATTGCATTATGGGAAGTGTAGGATCCAGACCCACGCTTGGTAGTAGAAGCCAAGATATCTCAGTTTATGCTGCATTAATGTTGGTGATGTAGTTTTTAATTCGTCTCTCATGAATCCCCCAACCATTATATTTTGCAATACAAAATCTCTGAAATACTATTTTAATGGAAAATGATTTTGACACTGAGGTAACTTGATTACAAGCAATTTTTATGTCTTTGTCTTAAAAAAAAGGCCTTGGCAATCAGCTCCTTAATATGATAGTTCTCAAACATCTGTGTCCAAATTTTGGCACATTGGACAAAAAGCAGAAAAATTCTTCAGTATGTATAGTGAGAAAACTTGAAAATAATGACAACATATGCTAATTGCAATAATCAAGGAGGTGCTACTGTTTCAAACTGAAATAAAGAATAATGTTGTTTTTACACATTGGATCTTTAATTGGTCCAAACAAATGTATTCAAGTTTCTCACCAAAAACTCAATTTTACAAGATTTAATTTGAACACATCATGATGAAGTTATAATTTACCTTTGCCCAATATTCATTTTGACAGTATAGAGCTTCAACACATCATAATGTAACTCACTGGAACCTCCACTCTCACTGTGCTGCACACGGACTGCTAACAGCTAACATTAACTAGCTCTCCTCCTGACAATTTCTACACGGATTTGTTGTTCAGAATGTAGTATTATCAGGAAGAAATAGGGTAAATGAGAGTGTTTGTGTGTGAGTGTTTGCACATTACCCATCGGGCAGAATATACGGATCATGTAATCACCCATATTAGGCTTTAATCGGAGGCATTTCGGTTTCTGTTATCGGTATCAGAACAACGCTAGTAACCAGTGGTAATAATAGCAAGACAAGATAATCAGTCCTTATTATCTAAACCAGGAGAATCATGAAATTCCTTTGCGTGTGCGTCCGTGAGTGAGTGTTCATCGCTGTGTCTGTCCACGGGTAATCTCGCATTCTGCTGCAGCAAACTGGATGATATTATGACTGCATGCTGAAGGACCTCTTGTGGTTGTGGTCGCTCACACTTTGTCAAAACACCTTTTATTACCTGTTTTATACCACCATCGACTGCCTGCTGACTCTTCACTCTGAAGCTGCCCCCGGCTGGTAGGGGCTGCTTGTGATAACAAAGCTGACTCTGTGTTCAGAGACACAGTGGAGGGAAAACAGTTTGCTCACTTTTTTGTTTTGGTCAGTGTGTTTGGCTAACAGCTAACGGCTAATAGAACGACTTAAACAGCTGACTGCATTGCAGCTGTTGCTCTGCAACCAGGGAAACTGTTATTTCCTGCCTTGTCAACCGCCACATTTACACCATATTGTTGAAAAAATATACTTGAAGTCCACAGAAACGCTTCAAGTCGATGTTACACTATAATTACAGCAGTGGTCATTGCAGTGTGTATGTGTGTGTGATTGTGTATTTCTTGTTGTGAAGTAATTTTCGCTGATATGATGATAACCCCCCAGACAACCTTGGTAATGTTGTTATTTGTTTGTGTTTGGGTGAAGATTTCTTTGTCTGCATTAGTGTATGTGAACAGTAACCTTTGGGTGTTTGTGTGTGTCGTCTCACAGGTGGTGCTTAAACCGGTCTCTCTGCGCCATCCTCTCTCCCCCCCTCTGTGTGTGTGTGTGTGTGTGTGTGTGTGTGTAGCCTAGGCTAATCCAGTTAGCAGCTGCTCGGGGAAACTTCAGCCTCGCTCCTCAAAAGCTCATTAGTCAAGCTTTAATTGTTGCTCCCTCGCTTTGCATATCGCCATGACTCTAATTTATGCCCGTTGTCGCGGTTACCGTCGCCACGGTGGTGGATGTCTCAGTGGAAGCAGCAAGTGGGGGAGCAAAGGCACGTGCATGAGTCTGTGGAAGCTGCTGTTTGTGTGATCGTCTGCGTGTGACGGATGCGGTTGCCTCACTACGTGTGTGTGTGTGTAACAGAATGATTATGAGACGGATGTGGCTTGTTGCACAAGCGTGTGTGTGCAGCTGTGTGAAGCTAGCAGCTCGGGGGCGGGTCTCTGGAGTTATCTGAGTGATGATTGGGTGAGAATGGATTGACAGGTGTTGGGCTCAGAGGTGGGCTTCTGGTGTCATCCTGATAAATTGGAGCGGGACGTTGTGACTTTGTATATGTGGATGAGTACGTGTGTGTCGAAGTGAGCACATGTGTGTGTGTGTGTGCAGGAGATCACATTGTCGCACACCGACTGCAGTGCACGAAGGAGCCGACGCCGGTCTTAATATCTCTGTGAGTCACGACACAACGACAAAGCTCTTCCTGCATTCTACCTTCTCCACCCCTCTGTCTTTCCAGAGGTAAAGACTCTCTTATCATCCTATCTTTCCTTTTCTTGATCCCTTTCTCCATTCTCTTCTACTGAGAACCGTGACCTCCACAAGGTCGCAAGGGAGGCAGGCGTAACACACACACACACACAGCCCGTTTCTCACAATCACTGAAATAGAACCT